GAGGGAGTGAAACCCCCCCCCGGGCCCCTGCCCCATGGATTTGGTTCCGGTTCGGGCGGGTTTTGTTTGGGTTTCACCGGATTGAGAGACTTTTAATGCATGGAGGTTGGCAGGCGGGTGAGGGGGGGGGGGGGGGGGGCAGGACAGGGTAGGGATCGGGTTGTGAGAAGGGAGAAGTGGGCCCGTGTGACGCAATGGGCAGGGTGGGAAACGGTTACCAGTTTTGGGTTGGGATTAACCCGTGTGCGCAAGAGAGATGCAGCCACCTAGCTTCGGTACGGAACGATGGCCGAGAAGAGGATGGACCGTTCGACTGGGGAAAGACCGGCCGCGCAAACAACGCTGTAGGTGCGCGTCAACATCCAACAACGACGTCCTTTCCCACCGAGCCTGAGAGCGGACAGGTCTCATGTCATCAACACAGCAACAAGCCAGACTGCCTTGTTGGGCCTGTTACCCACAGGGATGATACCGCTGGATGCTGCTCGAAGAGTAGTCGAAGGGTGGTCATTGTTGTAAGGCTGTGAATTCAATGCTAAGTTATCACATACTCATATCGGTGGATAGAGATTCGTTTTGATTCTGTATGAACAAAATGTGTTCCCTCCCTGCCTTTTCAACATCCAGCCATTCAGCAAAGCACCTTACAAAGTACATTTGCAAAATTTCGAGTTTGTCGGGAAATGAGCGGTATAAATTACGCCTGTTTCGAGAGCCAGCTGGGTTGCAGTTTGTTGCGACACGCACAAAAAAGCAAATGGCGCCCTGATTTTCTCTCGCTTGTCTACCCCGTCCCCCTCCACTGGCCATCCCACACACGGAGCCCCCAATCGCAACGAATGAACCGCGAAGAAAACGGAACAACATCTCGCGCTTCCGTCGCAAGTGCTGTGTGCCGCTGCTGCTGTGCAAACGAAAACTCGAGCCGAGGACAAGCCAAGCACCCAATACCGCGAGTGCAGCCCCCCCCCCCCGCAACCCCTCTCTCCCACTGTTCGAAAAGAGGAAAACAACTTACGCGCTCATGGCGTCCTTGAGAGACGGGAAGGCAGAGGTGTTGTTCACGCTGAGCGCCTCCTGCCGCTGCTTCAGCTCGCGCTCCTCCATGCGCTGCTTCCAACCCCCCCCGAGCCCACCGGCGCTGCGCGCCGCCCCACCCCCGAAAATGTCGCCCGACAGCCCCTTCGGCTTGGTGGCAGTCTCCTCCTCTTTCGCCTCCTCCTGTTGCGGCTCTTCCTTCTTTTCCGCCTCCTTGACAGTTCTTGCATCGTGGAAAGCTTGCCTTTTGGAGGGGGGTACGGTAAATGGGGGTGGTGGTGGGGGGTGTACTCTTATGTTTTGCATGCCCTAGCGGTTAGACCATTGACCACGCGTCCTCGAGAGGACGGGGCATTGTTCCCACAGGACCGATCACCGATGGTCAATCGTTGTTTCCTACTTTGCCAAAGGTGGCTCAAATATGTCTTCCCTAGTCTGTCTATCCTAACGATATCCCTTCCCGCCTTTTCAAACCATTTCCTACTCCCCAGTACCGCTACCATCCTCTCCTCTCTATTCCATGCCTCAAACATCTCCCTGTACGTCCCTTGTATTCTTCCCAGCTCAGTCATGTACACTTCCATCTCCTTATTGTACCACGGACCATTCGCGACTACATGAACACGGTCTTCGCATTCGAAGCCGCAATCACATTTGAACTTGTCGTCTTCGTCGTCTACCGTCCTATGTCTTCGTCGACGTTCTCGAAGGCCTATGTCCTCGGTCCTGAATTTGACCTTAAGCTTTGTCCCTGCATCCATTGGTCCATGTAGGTAATCCTTGAACCCTATTCCTTCTTTCAACATTCCGTACACTTCTAGACCCTCCTTATCCTTGGTTTCATTCCTTAGATTCTGTTCTTCTCTCTTTGGCACAAGCAACGGACATCTTCTCCTTGAATGGGGGGGGGGGTTACGGGGAAGTGGAAAAGAAAGATCGGCTGGCTTGAAAGTGAAACCTGGGGTGCTGACTAGTTTTGATGGGTCCAGGCTAGGCAAACAAACGGAGCGCACAGGGTTGTATAACTCTCGTTACTGTATTGCATTACGCGAGAGTGGCAGTTTGGAGCGGAGAGGAGCAGCAAACAAGATGCTCCACGACCGTGCCCATCTCATCAAACACCGTGGAAACAATGATGGTTCAGAGCTATCCTACCTTCGCGAGCCTGTGCGCGATGTCATTTCGCGGCGGGAAACAGAGTGAGTGCGATGAAGAGGAACTTAAACTTTACATCTCGCAAAATCCAACGAACGGACAAAATACCCGTGGGTGTCTGGCTAACGGGACGAGTAAATATCCAAAACGGAAGAGATTCACATCGTGATTGTATCAAACGTGCCTTGAGCGTACCGCAAAATGCACCAAAAGGGGACTGCAGCACCCTCCGGTATCATGGCGCCTGCCGCCAACCCACACCATGTGATTGGCGTCCACTTGATGTCTTCGCTTCTACAGATTGAGTCTGGTCTTTGATGAACCTCAGGCTGGAGACTCTCAATTTCGCGTCTTTCTCCTCCTCGAGCCTAGTCGCCGCTGCCCACCCTTTTCAGGCGAGATCCGCGACAAAACGTATCGATGCACGATATACAACCTTGGGACTATAATAGGGGCCTCCTTGATCGCTTTGCCTGTTTTTTCCTGCTATCTTCGCTCGCAACGTACATCTCCCCGATGCGGATCCGCGCGCACGTGCGCGCACGTGGTGGTCAGAAAACTTTTTTCAATCGACTCACTTGATGTCTTGTTTCTCTAGCTTGGCAGCCGTCGACTCATCCTCGGTCATGAGAGCCGTCATGTCACTGATGGCCGCGCGCCGGTTTGCCGTGTAGGCACAGCATCCAAAACCGCCCCATGATTAATTCCACAGACGGGAGAGGGAGAAACGGCCACCAAAAGGGGCAGGCAGAGTGAGCGACGCGCATCAGCAAGCAAAGAGATGTGCCCTACAAACGAAGACGCCTATTCAAAGTGCGGAGGGGGGGGGCGGGGGCATTTCATTATCTTCATCGACTCTGTCAAACGACGATGTACCCCAAAAATCACAAAAAAAATCGCGTCGCATGCATTAGTCTAACTCTACAAGACTCACATGAGGTCCGACACGTGCTTCCCTCCCGTCGCCACGACGCTCTTCTTCTCTACGACATCGTCCCAGCCGTCGTCTTCCGCCGGGCCAGGGCCACCCAGGATCTCCTGGAGCTTCTCTATCTTGGGTTTCTCCCTGACAAACGTTTCGTTCGGGCATGGGGGGGGGGGTCAGTAAATCTATAAGGGGGTGCGCTCTTTCTGATTGCCGCATAGAGGGTGCCTGCCTGCCGAGCCTTTCTTATGCAAGTGACACCCAGGCGTAGAAAGCCTTTGACTGCTGCCATCAAGCTGACGTATTTGGCGAATTAATTCAGAGGCTGTTTGTGTGGGGTTATATATATGCATACTGCGAAGTACTTGGTAGCGTGTTTGAGCGCCAAGTTGCAAACCTCCTGGAGGCACGTATCTAAATTTGTGCTACAGCAGTACTCTACTAAAGCCAAGATTCGCGCTGTCACACCGCAGTTCTCACAGGCGAGCGGCGATTGCAAGCTAGCCAACCCGCAGCACCCTGATTTCAAGCTCTGAATATGCAAGCAAAAATCCTACTACGTTGTAAGGGTTGGCAGAATCGGGCGGGAAGTGCCTGCTGTTGTACGCACATTTCACGCATCATGTCTCTGCGCTCGTTTTTACCCTCGGTTTGTATGACTTGCCTTGACGGAACTTCTAGAAGTGCATCCATCTTACACAGCAGATGCGTATGCTTACGTTTGGTTTAAATACTGCTGTGGATGAAAGGACGGCAGACGGTCTTGTGCGAGCGGTTGAACCAAAAAACATCTTGGCATTGGTAGGAGGAGTTGTGTGCAGAATGCACAAGAGAGAGACACAGCAGAGCGACGCCCCACCTTGCATCCCGCGCACTGGATTTCTGCGGTAGCGGTGCGAGGGGAACAGCAACTTGGCGAGAATGTTCAATCCACAACAGAGCAGCTAAGAGCCATCCATTAGAATGAAAACCAAGGGCTTCGTCAACTCACGCAAACGCGTTTCGTTCTATGCACCTCCACTACTCTCAACGCTACTCTACCGAATGCAAGGAAGCGCACAACTATGCATACAAGTCTTACTCCGTTTTGGGGATGCCCGAGTCGAGGTTGAGATTGGACCCCTTGGTTTTCTTGCCCTTCTTTCCCTTTTTCTTTGCGAACAGCGAGGAAATGCCCGCAGCAGAAGTTTCCTCGGACGCCATCGTGGTGGTGGAGTGAGCGTGCGTTGGCCAAGGAGAGAGAGAGAGAGAGCTCCTGCGGTGGTGGGGCTCTGTCTGCTGCTCTTGCGAGGCTCATCTCCACGCGACCAAAAGGGGCACCGCGGTGATATGACAAGTCCCTATAAAATACCATCTATGCACCCCCCAGAATCTCCCGAGAGCACGCGCACACAGCACACAGGCACAGGCAGCGCGAGGCGAGAGAGAGCACGCCCCGTGTGTGCAGCGATTGATGAATCGCGAGCGTAGGAGTGCGAGTTACTCTTCTTTGCCCCGCTCTGCACCGATGGTTCCGTCAATGGTAGCCTTCGCCATCTCAACCGCGGTGATGTCTGCTGCTGCCGATGCAGCCTCCGTTGGGGCCGCTGCTGCGTACGGGACTCAGGTAAGACGAGCACCGCAGAATGGCTTCGTACCAAGCCCTCGGTTGGGAGGTCTCCGGCACAGCAGGCGACGAGGCCTCTCTGGCGGTGCAATCCACATGGTGCAGTCGGCGCGAGACTCGGCTTGCAGCGGAGAAGGACCTGGCGGCGTCGCTGTGCACGATGACTCGTGGTACCTGGGAGACGGCGGGTTCGCCGGGCGGCACTTGGAGGACGAAGACCGCCTTGCCGCCAAGAAGGTCAGAGCGTTAGGAGACCTACGGACGCTTCTGTGTTCTTGTTCTTTGTAGCCTACCTGCTACTCTGTCACCATCGATTGCACTCGACTTCATTAACAGTCAAGTGAAACATGCGCACCTCACGTGTTCGAGCGCATCTTCAAGTACGAGCGAGAAACGGGAGGGTAGCGCGAGGGTCTCTCACTAACCTGCAATCCACACGGCGTTCTCTTTAGTGCGACGTAAGCATTCGATACCACCATAGTTTTGTGAGTGATTGAAGATACAATTTACTGCTGTTGTGCCGGTCAAGGGATTTATACCTCACTCTTTTTCCGTGTCTCCGACTGCGTACCCCAGAGCCCTCGTTGCTCGTTGGGTATGTACGTCCGCCCGCCTACATGTGCATATTGCCAAGAGACAACCAGCAGTAAACGCTGCTGAATCTCTCGAAACACCAACGGCATCATGACCCCTTTAACCCCGCCACCACCCCGTGTGCTCATGCGCCAACCAACCGGGAAAAAAAAAGGACGAGAAAGCCTTCTTCCGAGAACGGTCGCTGTCCGTGTACGACCAGATGAAGGAGGCCAGCATGCTCCTGCTGGCCCAGCAGCAGCTCTTGGCCGCGGAGGAGACGCGGGAGGAGGCCTCCAAGCCTCGCTTCGTCGCCGCCGCGGGGGGATCGATGGCGGCACGAGCCCAGGCCGCTCGCGACCGGCAGAGGAAACGAAACGTCGTGAGGGGCTTGCTGCCAGACGCCCCGGCGGCTTCGGGTCCTGCGTCAGGAGCTGCTCCGTCGCCGGCGTCAAGGGGTGCACCCGTGCTGATTCCTGTGGGGCCGGGCATGCTGTCAGGGGATAGTCTCGGGGTGGGAGGTCTGGACGAGGAGCTAGAAGAGATCCGACGGCGGGTGAGCAGGGGGGACTATTGGAGATCCGGAGGGATTCACGTATGGTTGCTTCGTCATGAAAGAGGGTCAAAATTCCATACGGTCGGACATATGCATGCTCCTCCTTCGGCGCCCTCGTTTTTCCTACATACTGTTGTACTCTATTTATTCGGTTCTTCACGCATGTAGATGTGGTCCTTTCCAATCCCCCGTGCACACCACAACACGTTGTCCCACCCCCCGCCCCACCCCGCTGCCGCCGCTCGCCAAAACCAGGTGTGCGTCCCATTGGCGGCGCCGGCGGACCTCCTGGAAGACCTCGGGATATCCCCCGTGCGCGGCCTGCTTCTCCACGGCCCCCCCGGGTGCGGGAAGACGCTGCTCGCGAGGCGGCTCTCGGCGGCGCTGACCCCGCGCCCCCCGGCGGTCGTGTCCGGGCCCGAGATCCTGGAGCGCTTCGTGGGCTCGTCGGAGGCCAATATCCGCGCGCTTTTCGACTACCCCCCGGACGTCCCCGGCGGCGACGAGTCGGAGCAGGCGGAGGCCCTCCACGTGATCGTGATGGACGAGTTCGACAGCATCGGGCAGAGGCGCGGGGGCGGCGACGACGGCGGGGACCGCGTGCGCGACAGCGTCGTCAACCAGTGAGTTGTGACGTCGGGCGAAGGCGGGCGAAGGCGGGCGGGGCGGGCGGGCAGCAGCACCGCCGAGCTCTGCCTTGGAGTTCTGGGGGCGCTGTTGTTGTTGTCATTGGAGTGGCTGCTTGTCGAGTTCGCCCTTTCAAAACGAAGGTGTTATTATGTGAACGCGCGCCGTAGTCGCAGTCCGCGTGTTCGCGCTTCCTGGTTGATGCACTACGCGGAGCAGCGGCTCATACGCCTGCAGTATACCGGCAAGGTTGAAATCGCAGCGAAGGCTTGATCTGTGATGCCCGTTTTGTTTTGACTAAAACTCGGCAGCATCTGTTACCTGGCGAGTGCCCTCTATCCCCAGAAGGTTGTGTTCTTTTCAGATTGACTTCCTCCAAGTCGGCACCATGTGTTAGACCATCTTCCAAAGGACCCAGTATTTGGGGACCTTGTTCACATTGCCCAATTACCGGCCTCTGCCCCTCCCATGCCTGTTCTCTCTACGGGATCGTCGCGTAAGACTCCTAGCCCGCATGGACGGGTTCCAAGAGCTCGATCGGCCTACCCTGCTCGTGGCCCTTACCAACAGGATTGATCTATTGGACACGGCCCTCCTACGGCCCGGACGGTTTGAAGTGCAGGTGGGTGGGTGGGCATTTTCAGGCTGCCGTCCCCCCCCCCCCCGGTTTGTTGGTTTTTGCCGCTCATTTGTGTGTGGTAGAAACGCCGAGTAGGATAGTATGTGAATCGCTTGTTTGCGCCCCCCCCCGATGATCCCCCCTGCACGGGGTTGGGTTTTCGTCGCTTGGCAATGACGTTGTAAAACAAGCCGACCACTCGTGAGCTCAGCAACCAGGTTACCGCTTTTCTTTTTGCCTCTGTTTTTTTGTTTCGCGGTAATCAGGTAACCATAATGGTGGTCGAGTAGATTATGTTGTGCGGGGTCGAGAAACCTCACTCTGCGCAAGGGGGATGATCGCACCACGTTGTGTTTTAGAGGTCAAGCACCCTCGAGGCAGCTACACAGTGCTTATAACTGTCTCTGGAAGTGAAAGCACCAGAAAATAAATTAAGTCATACGCAGCTGCCATCCGTACGCAAGGAAGTAAGCACAAGATGCCGAACACCCTTAGCAGGATGCAGCGCACCCTTCATGCGACTCGCCGAATACCTCACGGTGCTTCGCGCTTGGTGATGTGAGAGCCTGGTCCGGTGAGAACCCGGCGTGCTCCGTCCCGGCTTTGTAGGGATGCGAGGTCAATGGTCTAACGACTACGGCATGCACGACTATGAGGACACCGCCCCCCATGGCTTCCACACCATGGCGACGTCTATACGCACGAAGCGAAAGTGTGTTATCCAAGCCCGCCCCGAATCCCCCCCAAAACCCTTTCGGCCTCCATTATTTGCACTGGTGCGAACTGCGTACGCGATCCCTGGTAAAACGACACCACGATTCACTTATTTTTTCTTCGATCCGAATAGGTGCACATCCCCGGGCCCGACCAATCAGGACGCGAGGCCATCCTCCGCATCCACACGCAACGGATGCACCAAGCAGGCCGCATCGATGCCCCGCCGCCCCCAGACGCCGAGAAGAAGAGCGGGGACGGATACAGCGCCCTCGTTTCGTCCCTCGCGGCCGCGACGGGCGGCTTCACCGGCGCGGAGCTTGCGGGGTTGGTGCGTGCCGCGGCCTCCTACGCGCTCGAGAGGGCTGTCGGCGGCGGGGGCGGGAGCGAGGCGACGGCGGCGGGGTGCCGTGTCACCGCCGAGGACTTCGGCCGGGGGCTGGCGGACGTGACTCGATCAAAGTCGTCGGCACACGCGTCGGCACCAGGCGGAGCGGCGAGAAGAAAGGTCGCTGGCGCGTCGCCGGCGGCGGCGGCGAGGCTGGAGCGAGAGGGAGAGAACACGATCGGGGCGGCAGCAGTGGTAGCGGCAGCCGAGGGGGGGGCAAGTGAGCCGAAGGCCACCGCTGCCGCGGCGACGTCGGTTTCGGCGGCTGCTGTGGCGGCGGCACGATCGGAGGGAGAAATCGGTGGGAGCCTGTCGCCGGAGGTGAGGCAACCCCTTGGCACTCGTCCCTCCGCTCGCTCGCCATAACGGATGGGAAGAGTAGTTTTTCTCGTTATCGTTAGCGCCTCACGCGAATGTGTGTGTGTGTGTTTTCGTCCTTCTTTGTTATGGCGACAGTCCCCCCATTTTTCGTGGTGAGACGTGTACTACACCTTTCAGTGTATGCAGAGTCACGCGAATGGTATGATGCTATTTCATGTTTTCAAGACTCTTTGTCCGATGCGGAATTTCGGCTCCTTCCGTAGACGAATTAGTTGCCACTCCCCGCCGAAGGTCGTGGTGACTTTGGCCCGCTGCCCAGCGCGCAGCAGGTTTTCTTCGGTGAGATTTAGGCCGGGAGTGGGTCGAAGGAGAGAATGGGTCGGGCGGGGCCTCACCAAGGGTCCGCATGCCCATGCCAACAGGTGGTTGGCTGGTGTGCCAACAGGTGGTTGGCTGGTGCAGTAGTGTTCACACATTGTAGTGTTTACACATTGATAGTAGATCCTTAGGACTAGCGCTTTCTGATTGGCCGCGTGCTCGCCCAGTTCGCGGCCACTAGGCCGTGCGTTGGCCGTGGGTTAGGGTTAGGGTTAGGGTTGGTTGGGGTGAGCAACCTAGCCTTGCTCGCGTGAGGAACCTAGCCTTGCTACGTTCAACATCGGTTAGTCCTAAAGAGTTACTATCAAAAGTGTAACCAAGGCTCGGCTGGTGGGAGGAGTCGCACGGCCGCCGCCGGTGGTATCCCGCCGCCGGTGGTATCCCGACGCCGTACAAAAAAAAAATCGGAAATCGTAGACATACGGGTACTTTCTGACGCTATGAATCCATTGCTAATCTGTCTCAGACTCTTTTCTATGATAGAGATGGTTTCGTTGTGTCATATTAAGAAAAAAAAAAAAAAAAATCGGAATGGCCCCCGAGCACAAGCTCCTCCTTCATCTTTGTATGCGTGGCAACGATGAATAATCATATTCTTCGTATATGACCTGCCATCCACAACGGCTTTGCTTGTGGTTCGATTTCACTGGCGACCTTTCCTAATATTTTGGCATGATTTTCCTCGAGGGCACTCAAACCAAACTCCCGCCGATCGGTGTAGAAGCCACCTTGCTTGCTCTTCTTGAAACTGCCCAAGTAACAGCTGTTATCTATTTCGATGCATCTCGGGAGCTGCGATTGTTGATGTTTGTGCTCAGAAGCGGTGCTGACGCGAATTCAGCAGAAACATGCTGTTTTATGTACATGTGTACGTCTTTTCTTACTTTCCCTCGTCGTCACATGCTATAAACCATGCCAGGACCTGGCGTCTGTACAGAAGCTCTTGCTGCAGAAGACGAGCGAGAGGGAAGAGGAAGACGTGCTGCTGCTGGACGCAGCGCAGGTGGTCGCGCAGCGAAGGAAGGGCGGGGGCGGGGCGGGCGTTGAGAAGGAGGGGGTGGGGGCAAGGGCGAGATACGGTGTTGGGGAGGGGGCGGGCGAGGAGAGAGGGGGGGGGGGCACGGTAGCAAGCTCGGCGAGCAGACAAACGAGGGTCAGGAAGTTTGAAAACACGGGGTGGTTCCATACCTACGAGTAGCGTTGCTTGTTCCCGTGCTCGATTGGGCGGGAAAAATTTTAATCTACGAGAAATATTTAGTTTTTGTTTGCGGACGAACAACGGTTTAGGAGTACACCTCATGGACGGTTGCTGTGGTAACTGCTGCGTTGTTGGTGTTGCTCATTCTACCGTCTCAGTATATCCGCGGTGTTTGTAGCGCACAGAGTTTCATGCTGCTTTTGGGGGTAGCATGCTGCGGTTGTTTCTGGGAAAGAAGCAAATACCATCATGCGAAACATCTGTGCATTCTGTGCCCGAATTGTTTTTGTGGCAAGTGTGCTTGGGTAAACAAACACGTACTTGTATGTATTTGCAAACCGGGGTGTTTTATTTGACGATGACGCTTTGCATGTCTCATTGTGATATGCCGGCGAAATTACCGGGGACACTAGGCTTGGGACACACCCCTAAATTACACCACGCGTCTTGAATCAAATGTTCGCGAGGTTGTATGCATAGTTTGCCCGAAATAAAGCGAGCCTAGTTCCATGTGTTCTGTGTTAGGAATACAACACAAGCGGTATACATGTACGTACGTACGCAGAGTGCCCCGAGTGGTTCCGGCGCGGCACTTCCTGCGCCAGAGGTGTCTCGCGGTTTCATCGTGAACGGCCTTGTAGTATACGTATGGCGGCATCGTGTAACCATATTGAAACACTGCATTGTAATGTGTGTTCTGCGGTAGGGCCGTTGGCATGTTGGGCATCAACAGTATGTATCGTATACGTACAGCAGTATCGGAGTTTTCGCACGGGAGTGTTCGTCGAAAATGCCCAGAATACTGCTGATGCTGTTACCCGTGTGATACATACGTTCGGGCGTGTCGCACCCCCCGTGCGATGAGCGTTCAGGGTCTCAATCGATTGTCGCACGGGGATCGGTGATACTGCACAAACCTGCGCGACAACACCAGACCAGCACTGCCAGAATGAAATCTTTCAATAATCGTTCGCACCCCCCGGTGCATTCTCGCATCCTTTCGGTACGTACATGTCCAACTGTCCAAAGCACAACACATTCCAAAAGATGGCTTCGTGCCCACTCGATCTTTGTGTCATGATCTGGGACGTCACTACATGAATTTGCTGTAGGTGCCGCACACGCGTACATAGATATGGTGGGTGTAGAAGCATCATGAACACACATGATGCACACGTGAACTATTTTTTTTTTTGTCCCTTCGGCAGGCTGGAGGTTCACTACAAGTATTTGCTTCGAGTCCTGCGGATCACAATTGGTGGTCTGAACTTTCTGTCTGTTCCGATCGAAGATCATTACAATCAAGGGTGCCCGATGTTGGTTTTTGTTCGGGGGGAACGGTACAGGGCAAGCAGTGCCCGCCGCGAATGCGTCTGATCCACTCCGCCGCCGCAACACTGCAGCTGCTATCATCTTTGGACGGCGCAGCATCGGGAGGAGTCAGGCTGCAACACGCGAGCTCGTCGTGACTAGATTGACGCTCATCATCACTTGAGGGAAGCGATCGAAAAAATAACACTCACTTGAAGGAACCACAGGCAGGCGCGAGAGAGAGAGGCGCATGGAGAGGGCGATGGCCGGCCCCTGGTTTCTCGGGGCGACGCTGCTGCTCTCGTTGCTGACCGCTACGCAAGTAGCGGCGGACACGACGCTGGTAGTCCTGCTGCCACCGAGCGAGGGCGAAGAGGGGGCGGAGGCCGGCAGCTTCCCGCTCACCCAGGCTCTCGAGAGCGTGATCCGGCTCGGCGTCGAGCGAGTCAACGGGGATGGCCTGCTGCTGGACGACAAGGAGGTGACGCTGTTCACGCACACCAGCACCGGCGTGCCTGCTGCGGCGGCCCTATGCGAGTCCATCGAGAGCAACGACACCGTCGTGGCGGTGAGGAAGAAAAGAGGGGCCTGTCTTTGCTCCGACGGGGCACGATTGCATCATTCGAGGTGGTCGGTTCTATGTTGTATGCATACTTGTAGATTGTGTTCACCCAGCTATCAGCTCCGCCCTGAGCTCGAAAATTTCCACCGGCGGCGTGCGTTCAGGCAGTGCACCCCGTAGCACAGCAGCAGCAACGATGGTAGACACCTCTCGCCCTCGTGTCTACCATCTTTTTCACAGCCAGCCGCATTCGCGACCTAAATGGGAGAAAAATCACGGCGGGACAACCAAATGTCTACTGCTGTAGACTACACCCTCCGCCCCCATATCGTTGTCGCGCTTGTTGTCCAATCAATTCAAGAAGACTTTTTTTTACTGGTGGCACCTCTGACTAACCCAGAGGCGTAAGAGAGCCGTTGCGTGCAACACATGTATACGTAAGCGCCGTGCATACCCTCTCTCTCCGCGACCTTCCGTCCTGAAGCATGTGGCTCTGGTGCGAGGGCGTTCTGTTTCCAGATGTGAAGTCACTGGTTGTTGCACATGTTACAGCCCAAGCCCTGAATTTTTGATCCGCCCCTCTCCCGGGATCCCTACAATAACAATAACCAGACATATCTGTGCGGCAGCGTTCTCTGCTGTTGTTCTACATGTCGGTTGTGCCGCGGGTGCTGTACTATGTACGTCCGATGCCCGCTGGCGTTCTCTCTCCGTCCGAACTTCACCCACAGCGCGGAGGCTGGATAGACACACGCGCCTTGGTACTCGTCTTGTGGTAGGTATGTGTAGGTATTTACTTGTGTAGTGATGCGGTGGAACTCGGCGGGAAATGGGCTGCTGCAGTTTCACGCCTCAAGATATTGGAAGCTGTTTGTGTTGATTATTGTGTTGGGCGGAAGTTGTTGTTCATGTGCACATGCAACTACCTCTATATATATACTGCTGCTGTTGCTGCAGTTCGAAGAATACGTTGGGTGCTCTGCGACGAAAGAAGGGCGGAAGCAAGCAGTCTTTCTCTGTGTGTTTTTATTATTCCTTAAGAGATGCTTGTGACTTTTGACCCCCCCGGTTCTCATCACATGGTTGACTCTCGTTGGTTATTGACGAAAAGCTTGTGCACCACAGAAGACGGAGAGGAGACGTAGAGAACGGATCGCGAGAGGCCAAGCGTGTGCAACACGCACTTGCCTGCTGTGAACGCTGGTGATCTGGTCCCAGGTCCTGTCTAGAGGACATACAGCAGTATGTAACATATAATGCAAGCGCTGTTTATAGATATACAATGGACACGCGGCTGCGGATATCTAAACCTCTTGAAAAAGTTAAAATTAGATGTTCGTCATAGGTTGCCAATAACAAGCCATCATTTGATCATTTGTAAGGACAACTTAGGCCGTAGTACAACCTGCGATCTCTCTCTCTCTCTCTCTCTCTCTCTCGTTCCTGTCAGCTCTAAGACTATAATCTAGTGTTGATGATTTTTGAATCGAGGCACCGAGGCCGCTCAGTTTCCGTAGGCAACGGAGTGTCGGGAAGGCGGTACATCTGTACCGCATCAGCCGCCCTGGGTTCCTGAGTTTCTAGTTCCTCTAAGCGCAAATTTGACTCTTGATTCGGTCACGCTCACAGTAGTAGTCGGTCCGATCAGTCCAAATTGTCAATTTTTTTCACGAAGTGGTTTTCACGTTTTCACTCCGGATACGATACTGAAAAGACTTCAACACATCCCTTTCGACTGAGGTTATATCTCGAACGGGTAGTAGCTATCTGTTTTTCTAAAAATAATCCGGCAAGGACAATTCATCCGACATCCGATTTTTTTTACAGCAGCATCAGTTCATTTTTAGCGTTTTAGCCTGGACCGGCAAAAAACCGTTTGCCAGCTTGCTGTGGTCTCATCGAATCCGGCGCCTAGAAAGTGTTGACACTAAAACGGGGTTCCTGTCGATGCGTTGCCACGTTGCCGCTGAACACTGGTGTAGCCAGCCAGCCCCGGTGTGCATGCGGTCGAGAGCTCGCGCTGAAAAAATGCGAAAGAAACTCAAGACAACAACACCAAAAAACACGACTCCGTAGGGCAAAGGAAAAAGACGCAAGACCGTGAAAACAGCAAGCAACTCGTCCTCTTGTCCTCTTGCATGTGACACCGAAGAAGACCCTCTTGCCCATTTTGCCCTTTGACGGCAGCCGATTCCCGAGCCGTTGGACCAGCCAACGCGTACTGCTGTAGCTGGCCTACTGTTGTTACGCTTTGATTTACTAAATGAATAAGTGGGCGTCTGAATGACCCGACACGTTTCATGACGAAGAGGCTCACCCCATCCATCAAGTGTTCATTTCTCTGCGTATCCTGTCAAGTCACCGTCACCCAAAGTCAGTTCAGAATGTCCACAGGGTCTTACATTAGACGTCGAGCGTTGCCGTTACCCATGCTTGTACTCTACAATCCTATCCCAGAGATCGAGGGAGGACCTCAGGAAGAAGAAAACACCTCAGTGTGTCTTCATTCAGCCTGGGGTTCAACCCACCTAATCAAATCAAACTACGAAGTAGATACTGTACCTACAATAGAGACGAGATTTTTTTGTGCTCTTGAACAGGACCTGTCGACGGGTTTTCTTGAAAAATATAGTGGCACATACAGCAGTAAGTATAACGGGGCTTATCCCCAAACCGCCGACTTGGCGGTTCCTGCGCAGTTGTTTCACCCCCCCCCCCCCCC